ATACCACTAATTAAAAAAAACTTTCTAGTCGTTATAATTGCGGTTTTTTTAAAAAATTTTTAAAAAACAATTAAATTTAATGTACTTCCGCATAAATTAATTGCTTTGACATTTCGATGACAATCAAAAACAGCTTAAGAGACGAGGTAATTAAAATTGTAGTCGAAAGAGACTTTTTTTACATTAAACGACTCTTTCGACTACACTATAAGGGTATATATATATATATATATATATATATATATATATATATATATATATATATATACACATATCAGGTCTTTGTAATATATATTTTGTGCGCTGGCCGTGACCGCGCACAAAAATGTAGAAGACTATATATATATATATATATATATATATATATATATATATATATATATATATAAAATTTAATAAATTTAATTCAAGTTACTTTAAAATGTTCGCATTTCATATAACTTTATTTTACATTTCAGTTTTGAAATTGCTTTTTAACAAAAGTTTTTTCTTTATCTTTAATTCTTTGAATTGATCATAGACTGAACGTTGATTAAAAATGATTAACTAGTTTAGGAGTAGTATGCGAAGATTTTGCTAAAGCCAAAATGTTAAAAGAAAGGTTGATAGTTTTTTTATTTTTTGACCATTAAAGTGAATGACTTAAATAAATTTTATTTTATACTTAAATAAATTTTAAACTTGAATAAATTTTAAACTTAATAAATTTTAATGCCTTTTTCTTTCTTCTCAAAGGTAAGTTTCGGTTTTACGATTTAAAAAATAATGGTCCAATTAATGCACTTTTGTACTTAATAAATGACATCAATATAAAAAAAATCTTTTAATTTTTTTTTTTTTTTTTTTTTTTTTTTTAGGTGGCCTAAGAAGTCGTAATGGTCTTGTCACAGAGCACTGCAGAAGTGCATTTAACCAGAAAGTTCACGCCTCCTTCTTTACCATGTCGCAAAATAAGTTCAAAGCTTGTTTCGAACCTGGATCTTCTGCTTATAAAGCAAGCATTCTTACCACTGCACCATGGACGCACAACTTTGAGTTTTAATGTTATGTTTAGAGTTTTCCCTTTGCCATTAAATTTTATGCAGGAGAATTTCATTATTTTTTTTATAAAAAGAACTAAACCTTTATAACTGAATAAAAATAACACAATCAATAAGTAAACACTTTAAAAGCTCAATTTATATTTAATTTATTTTAAAAACAAAACTAATACTATAGTTGTAAATATAAGATATGTGAATTTCAAAATTATACTGGCATTTATTAAAAACAAGTTCTGCTAATAACATCTTAAAAGTAAAAAACTTAAAAGCTAAAAGTACTAAAAATACTAAAATGTTTTAGGTAGCACAAACATTTTTTTAGGTAGCACAAACCTTTTTTTATAAAGGGAAAAACCAAATCTTATTGTATAGTTGTGTAAACCATTTAAAATCGCTTTAAGAAATTCAACCATAAACAAGTGTTCCCTCATTAGGAAAAAAAAAAAAACATTAAAAGGAATGTTTTAAAGAAGAATATATATATATATATATATATATATATATATATATATATATATATATAATATATATATATATATATATATATATATATATATATATATATATATCTGTTCAACACTTTTGATACCTTATTTAAACTTTTAACTTCTTATGTCAAACTTATGTGTTTTTTTTTTTCCTTAAGATTTTGATAAGATCTTTGATTTTGATAAGATCTAAATATATCTTTAAATTTATACTGTAATAATATTTACTTCCCCAATAAATAATTATAATTAAATTTACTTCCCAAGGTTCTATAGTGAAAGGCCACTTCAGTCGAAGAGGCTACTCAATTATTATTATTTTTTTTTCAAGTTTATATTTTATTAGCAACTCTCCCACTAAACCCTAAACTCCAAAACATGAACCAAGTTAAAACAGAAACAGGTTAAGTATGTACTTCCAAATTAAACACTTAGAACCGAAACAGGTTGTGTTTGGTACTTTTAAGTTTGTGGAACACTATAAATAGAAACAGGTTGAATGTGGTACTTCTAATTTAAACACTTAGAACAGAAAGAAGTTGTGAGTGATACTTCTAAGTTCAAACAACCCTAAGAACAGAAACAGGTTGAGTGTGATACTTCTAAGTTTGCACAACACTTAGAACAGAAACAGTAAGCCTTCCCGGTCACATGTGCGATTTTTTGTCTTGTATGTTCACACATGATTATTTTATTTTAAACAACTCAGTCACAGCCATTAGCAAGTTTTTTTTTATATTAGATGTTGCACAAAAAAATTACGTTTTAAAAACAAAGAAAACTAAACTAACAAAATAGGAAATTAAAATAAACTTAAATTGAAAAGAAAAAAATATGTATTAATTTAAATCATTTGTGCACTGTTTTTATTTTTGTTTCTTTAGGATGTATGTTATTTTCAACAACAAAATTGGATAAGGCAAAGCGATAAAAAAAACAAAACAGTTTCAGGTTAACATTAAAAATAATGATTTTCCTATATTTTACTTGTTTGTTTTTTTTAAGAGGAAAATGAAAATATAAATTGCTATCTGTTTGTAAAATATATTTGTATAACTTTCATGTAACAAGTACATATTGTCCATATATGAAAACGCCTATGTGATGCATGCGTATACTTTTATGTATAACTTTTTTTATTATATGATTATATTTATTTGAAATTAAGTATTCACACATTTAAACTTATTTGGTTAAAGAGTTTACCTCATACTCGAAATGTCTGTGGTTTGAATTTATTTTTCTACCTGTCCCCTTCCTTTTGGTTAACTATGTTATTGGTGATAAGGTTAACAATTATTAACAAATATTATTATTATTATTGCATAAAAATTAATAATAATTATTATTAATAATTGTTCACCAATAACATAGTAGACCAAAAGGGAGGGGGCGGGTAGAACTAAACGCACTGATCCAAATGTTAAAAAGAAACAGGTATCCAAAATTACAAAGTGCTCAAAGATTGAAGATAAAAAATGTACATGAATAGAAAGGTAATATGAAACAATTAATAATAAGAAATAAGAATGTGAAGAGTATCATTTATAAAAGTACAACAAAAAGATTTTTATATACAAAAAAAAAAGATAAATGGTTACAATGTAAATATATGAACAGCAGTATTAAAAAGAAAAACAATTAAAAAGAATTGAAATTGGTGAGATTCGAACCACGAACATTCCGTGTATGAAGTAAACACTTTATACAAACAAGCTAATCATGAGCATACTTATAAGTAAATAAATATAATAATACAATATAATTTATACATAAAAGTAATGCATGCCTATGCATTACATAGGTGTATTCATATAGGGACAATATATACTTGTTACATTAAAATTATACAAATATATTTTACAAACAGATAGCAATTTATATTTTCGCTTTCCTCTTTAAATAAAAAACAAATAACACATAGGAAAATCATTCTTTTTTTTTTTTGCTTTGCCTTATCAAATTTTTTTGCTGAAAATAACAACCGCCTTAAAGAAACAAAAATAAAAACAGTACACAAATTATTTTTTATTTTAATTTCAACTTGTATTTATTTCCTATTTTGTTAATTTCGCTTTGTTTTTGAAACAGTTTTTTTTGCAACGCTTAATGTAAAAAAACTTGCAAACCGTTGTGACCAAGTTTTTTAAAATAAAATAATCATGCATGAAAATACAAGGCGAAAAACGCACACATTTCCTGGAAAGACTTGAAACAGGTTAGGTGTAGACTTCCATGTTTATACAACAAGTTTGTGATTCAGAGTTTAAGGTTGAGTGAGAGCTACAAATTAAAGTGTTAAAAAAAAAAGTAAGAAAAAACAAAGAGTAGTCTCCTTGACTGTAGTCACTCTGGAAGGTGAACTTAATAAACAAAATTTAAAAATGCAACAATTTAATATATATATATATAATATATATATATATATATATATATATATATATATATATATATATATATATATATATATATATATATATATATATATATATATATATATATATATACATTTATACAAATTTATATAAAAATATATATGTGTATATATATATATATATATATATATATATATATACATTTATACAAATTTATATAAATATATATATGTGTGTATATATATATATATATATATATATATATATATATATATATATATATACATATAACTTAACTAAATTCAACTATTTTAATAAAAATAATACCTCCAAACCACTGATGGAAATCTTCGCAAAGCACGAAACTGTGCAACAGTTTTTAGGTCATCATCTGAGATCCATTTCGGTACAATATGAAACTTTGGATAAGTTTTGCAAACTCTAAAGAAAAAATTACTTATATTAAATAATTGAAATTTTTTACCTCAAAAAAATTATTGACTGGTGATAAGATGTGATTTATTTATAATTGACTAAAACATAAAAATAAATAATCCACTTTAAGAGTATTCATCATGAAATCAATCAAAATATAAAACTTCTTTTTTAATTAACAAAAATCAAAAAATATCAAATTTTTATTTTAAAAATAATATTTTATATAAATTTAATAAAGCATTCTTTATCAGAATGAATGAATTTGAAAAATTTGAAAAGTTAGATTTTAACCAGACATTTTGTAGAACACAGCTCTAAACACACTTTAATCTCACTGAACAAGTATTATGATCAAATAAATGAGATCTTACTTTTTTTGTTCGTTTAAATAAAATAAAAAAAAATGAAAATAAGTATTCTTGGTCAACAACCAAAGAAATAAGAACACAGCGTGCATGTCAATGGAAATAAAGTGCAACCATAAAATACGTTATAAGGATTTACTTTTCTGTTGTAAAACTAAATAAATAAATTAAAAATTAGGTGAATGTTTATAAGCTTACTCAAACTTGGAATTTATTTCAGAAATCCGCCATATAGACTTTGTATTAAATCCCATACGACGCACATCATCAACAAATAACCCTGCTTCCAAGTCAGCAGCTAGAAAAAATGTTCAGAAAATAAAATAGCAAATAAAAATTTGAATAAAAATTGTTTTATTTTTGTACTTAAAAACTTTTTCAATGTTGTAATAATTTTTTTTTAATTATTATAAAGATAGTAGACATTTTGGGTTCTATTAGAATGTTTTTCTTTAAGAACCTATGAACTCATGTTTTGGATTAAACATTAGAAATCAAAAAAACCAATGAAATTGAAAAGAAATTGAAAATTTGATCCATAACTCAAAGAATATTTTTACATAAATCATAATAGTTTGTTTTTAAAATAACTTTTTATTTTGTGACTTTTTTTTAAAAAAAAAATTTATAATTCAATGTTTATTACTTTTAACAGCATTAATTAAAAAGATTTTAAAATTTAGAAAACTTTGTGTTTAAAAAACTGAAAAATAATGTTCAATTTCTGTTCATCAAGTTTCTGTAACTACTAAACAATGCTATATAGGAAAAATATATTGAAAACTATTTTATGATATAAGATAAATGTGTACAAAAAGGTTTGAGCATACTAGTTATTTTTTTTTTTAGAGTTGAAAATAAGTGCAACCAGGTTATCAGGTTTGTGTTAAAAATATTGAATAATATTTATAAAAACAACGAATAAAATTTATATAAAATACTTTTTCTAATTTGAAAATATTTTGATAAACGCAGTTTCAAAGAAGTATTTTTTGATCACTCATCTAACTGCACTTAGTTGCACTCAATTAAACTTGGTTGCATTCAATTGCTCTTAATTAAACTTAGTTGCTCATTATTATTATATATTGCACTCAATTACACTTAGTTGTACTTAATTTTAGCACTCAAATGCACTGGGTTGCACTCAATTTCACTTGATTGCACTTAATTTTGTGTGTGTTCATTTTATTTTACTTTAATTATAAGTATGAAAATTTACCCTTCTACTATCGAAGAGTTAAAGTTTTTTTTTAATTATTAAGTATAAGTAAACATCCTTGGTGTTGTAGAAAGTCCGCGCAAAGACTTCAGAAGCCTTTTTGGAATTTAACCCTGGAGTGAAACCTTTTTTAGGATTTTACTTTGAAGATGTCACTACAGTTTAAAAGATCACAACAGTTTAAGAGGTCAATAAAACTTTACATTTTACAACACTGATTACTGCCATTCTCTTTTTGTTAACTATTGAACTATTTATGTCATGATAGAAATCTCTTTTTCTCTACGTAAATTGTAATAACATGTGACAACACCTTTTTTGTAATAATTATATTTAAAATGATAAAACGCAACTAATAGCTCATCAATCATTTCATTTTGATTGTTAACCTCTAGTGTTCACATGAGGTAATGATAGTGTTCACTTCATAAGCAAGAAGTTTGATCCCTATCATATCCCTGAAAGTATTGCACCCAACTTGTTTTTTTTTTTTTGTGAAGTGGACTTCATCAAGGTTTGTGTTTTGGAGTTAATGAGTTGAGATAGAATGTAACCACAATTTTTAAAAAAGTAGCCTTCTTGATTGAAGTGGGTTTGGTAAATAGCATTTAAAAAAAAAAAGTGTTATCAGGTCTGAAATGTTGAAGACATCACATAAAAATGCTTTTCTAGAACTAAAAAACAGTGCAAATTAAATCTATGGAAAACTTAACACTACTTATACTGTTCAGCTCAACATATTTTAAACAGTTTTTTTTTTTAATCTTTAAAAATACAGTAATTACAACATTATTTTAATATTTAAAACTTAAACTTTAGTGGAAATACATGGAATAAAAGCAATATGAATTTTGATTTTATTTAAATAAAAATTTATATTGCAATAAGTTATTTTATTTTTAATTTAAATTTCTTACCTGAGTCATATGTTGGTTTGCAAGGCAATTTTAAGTAATGTTGATATGCAAATAAATCCTCTGGATTTGTTTGTGCAACTTCAGATGATGTTATATGCCTCCACCATTGTGAACAGTCTTCCTGAGTATCAAAAGCAACTCTAAAAAATAAAATAGAAAAATAATTCACATTAACCTAATCTTTAAATTATATATGGTACACATAATAATAGTAAACTTTAAGGCATATATGGAAAAGCTTATTGTAAACCATAATTATCTCACCGAATAATTTTTCCATCTTTGCAGTTGACATACAAAGCAAGCAATTCCCTCATCTCAACATAATCAACACAATAAACTGGAACCTAAAATAAACAGGGACATAAATTTAAATCTAAAAAAGTGGGAAACTAACTTCTAATTGGTTAACCTTGAAAAGCAATATACCCTTTTTTTAGTAAATGAATAAAAATATAAAATTATATTATCATATTAAACAATTGCACAACTCTCAAAATAAAAGGTTTTGCAACATCAACGCCTCTAATTTATGTTTGTACATTATAAGTATATTTCAATATAGTGAGATTTAATTTTTTTTAATGTAATTTCTTTTTAAAACTCTTTTTTAAATAACAGCCTACCTTCATATCTAAACTAACGAAGCAAGCAAAATTTGAAAGATTACAGGTTGACACAACTTGATGTACTTAGCAGTGGGTTATATATACGGCATTTCATTCAAAAGCTTTTAATTTAATACTCATAATTAAATGTTTAAAAAAACACTTAGTTTTGAGTATCAAAGAACATTATCAAAAAAAAAACTGGTAAATTTTTAAATTACATTTAATAATTTGCATACATTTAATCAGTAAACTATTTTTATTAACCAGTAAATTTACTGGAACAAAAATTAGCTATTTACAGGTAAACCAGTGCTACAATCTCTAGCAAGAGCCATTATCAAACTAAATTAATAGCTAAAAAACTGTTATAAAAATTATTTTAAACATAACAAAAATGCTTTTTTCAGTTTATATTTCCATCACAATGTTGTTTATGTTCCATAACTCCAGATGCACTCCAGTTACCTTTAGTAGCATTCTTTTTATGTTCCAGGATTTGTTTGGAAATCTTTTTTCTTGTTTCACTAATATTACATGCACCACATGTGCAATCAAGATGGTATACCTCTAGGTGACAATTTGGAGGTAGTTATGATTTATTACTTATTCATAAGTATATTAAGTAAAGAATATATAGAATGGTTTATTAACAACAATTAAGTTTAGGTTTTATGTGATGTTGTTAATTTATACCCATCAGTGTACTGCTTGAGAAAGCAACAGTTGCTATAATTTATACTCATCAGTGTACCACTTGAGAAAGCAACAGTTGCTATACTTGACATTTCAAACAAAGATATGTATGAACTAGTAAAACAAACTAAATTATCTTTAGTAGATATTCCTAAACTAATTGATCTCTATGTTAATAAGTGTTATTTTATTTGGGAAGACGAAACATATATATGTTAAAAAAATCTGCTCCAATAGATTTTTTGATAATAGAAGTTTTATCAGAATAATATTTCAACATATTAAATCAAATGCTATTCAACAGGTTTTGAATTTGAATATTGCGAATTGCTGTGTATCCAAGTTTTTTCTTAATTTCTGTTTATATTAAAAAAAAGATTTTGCAAAAAAATAATTTTGCAAATACACAAAAAAACATAACTTTTTTTTTTTTTGCATAAATTAAAAGAATTTTTATTTTATTTTAGACAACATTGATGAAAAAAACCAGAATATACAACAACCTAAAAAAAAAATTTGGACTGTTATGATCACATTAAAAATTTTTTTTTTACAAAATATTGATATTTACCTTGCACTCAAAGCTAAATAATTTAGGAACAATTTGGGGGTATTTTGTCGCTTGGACACAAGGTAAATTTCAATACTTTTGGAATTTTTATTTTGTAATCGTATTTTTTTATATTTGCCCCAATTTGGCTTCTTGTGTTTATATATATATATATATATATATATATATATATATATATATATATATATATATATATATATATATATATATATATATATATATATATATATATATATATATATATATATATATATATACATATATATATATATATATATATACATACATATATATACATACATATATACATATATATACATATATATATATATATATATATATATATATATATATATATATATATATATATATATATATATATATATATATATATATATATATATATATATATATATATATATATATATATATATATATATATAAACACAAGGGTTGAATTAAGCGATCGCGAAATGCAAAATCTGGATAAATATTTTGTATTCAAAATTTTAGTTCATGCAAAACCGTGTTCTTTGTTTTCAAGGGGCAAATCAACTTAAATTTGTTAGCAAAAAAGTTATAAAAAATAAAACAATAGACTTACGACTTCAAAAGTAATAACACTCTAGTCACTAACTGCATTATAAAAGTAATAAAACTATAATAGTGTTATTACTTTTATAAAGCACTCATAACTTTTAAAGTTCATTCTTTGTTCAAACAACATAAGTAACTCCAAACTTTAATGAAAGTAGAAAGGAATCTAGAAAAAATAAAGTGGATATTCAAATATTAAAAACTTCAGAAACTTTTACAAATATACTTAAATAACAAATATATTTAGACAACTTTTAAAAAAAGTACTTTATAAAAGTTTAATATTATGGAAATGTTACTAACATTTTGTAAAAACTTTTTTTAAATCAACCAATAAAAATTTTTTATTGGTTGATTTTAAAATTAACACACATTTTTACAGACCATTGGTAACTTTTTCATAATGCTTAACTTTTCATAAAGTACATTTTTATAAAGTATTTTTGTTAAAGTTCCTAAAGTTTTTAATATTATTTGAATATCCACTCTATTTTTTCTAGATGCTTTTCTACTTCAATTAAAAATTGGGATTACTTATGTTGTTTAAACAATGAATAAATTATAAAAGTTATAAGTGCGTTATAAAAGTAATAACACTATTATAGTTTTATTACTTTTATAATGCAGTTAGTGACTATAGTGTTATTACTTTTATAGTCGTAAGTTTGTTTTAATTTTATAACTTTTTTGAAAAATTTGAAGACCAGATATTTTTCCAGATTTTGCATTTTGCGATTGCAAACATTTAATTTATACAAATATATTTTACAAATACATTGTTATTTATATTTTCACTTTCCTTTTTAAAAACAAAGTTAAATATAAGAGAATCATTCTTCTTATTGTAGACTTTAAACTGTTTTTGTTTTTTTTGCCTCAAATTTGTTGTTGAATGTAACAACCACTTAAGAAACAAAAATAAAAACAGAACAAAAACTATTTATATACTGTCATGATTTCACTTGCCTTATGACAAAAAAGTTATATGTATGCTTAATAAACATTTTTAATGCAGTGTTATAACATGTTTACAAAGGATTTAAATTACTTTAATCAAAAATTTTTCTAAATTATAAGAAAATTTCTGCTTTCACCTTTTTGATATCGCTCAATCTGTTAATTATATAAAGCTGATGTAACTATTATAAAATATTATTTTTGTAAACTATTTTTTTTTCACAAAATAAAACTTATAAATATAAACAAAGACATTGCAAGAACTATATTGCTTTACTAATTGTAATTACTAAAAAACTTTATTTATAGATATATAATTCAGTTATTTTTAGGGAGTTTAGATAACCTGGTTTTTGATAACAAAGGCTATCAAGCAAGAATAAATATATCTAACTCCATCAAAACACTATATTGATAAATTAAAAATAGAGTTATGCCCATAGAAGAAGTTTTTTATTTATAAAAAAATATAATCTAAATAAAATGTCATTTAAAGTTTGTAATAATTTATGTTTTTTCATTTTTTTTTTTTTTGATAAATTCAATTATTATAACAATACAAACAAAAAATTAAAATATCAAGTGACGCAAATACAAATTAAAGTTTAGCATGTACTATTTTTTATCTAATAATTTTTTTGTGTTTTTTTTTTAATTTTTTGTGTCTTTTTTTAAATTTGGTAATTATTTTTGTTATTCTTTGTTATGAGAAATTGTCTAAATAAATATTCCTGCGCTTGCAATATAAAGAAAAGTTTTTTTATTTCATTTCTTTTTTGATTTATTTTTTTACATATCATATAACATCATTTTTTTTTCCTTTTGCTGAATACTTGTGATGAAAAAGTTAGGTTAATAAAAATAAAATTTTCTTTGTTTTTTCTTGTAATTGTCATTCAAACTTTTTTACGTAATCGTCATTCAAACTTCATAAATGGTTTTAATATTTGATGTGCCATTTTATGCTTTAAAATAAGGCCTATATATACATATATATATATATATATATATATATATATATATATATATATATATATATATATATATATATATATATATATATATATATATATATATATATATATATATAATCTAGCATATTAGTATATGTTATTCAAATTAATGTAACTAAAGTAAAAACTTACATTAGAGAAGCATTGGTTATAGCATACAAATAACCTGTAGTTGGTAAGGACAACATAATTTTCTTTGCTTAAGCTGTACTCTTTTACCACTTCAGCTGTTAGCAAAGGAAATGGAATATGACAATCTAAGTATAAAGAATCCTTAATAAACAATAATAAGTCTGAAACTATATATATTATATATATATATATATATATATATATATATATATATATATATATATATATATATATATATATATATATATATATATATATATATATATATATATATATATATATATATATATATATATATATAGTATATACAAGCAAGCTAAAGATATAGTTAAAAAATGAAATTATATATATATATATATATATATATATATATATATATATATATATATATATATATATATATATATATATAATTATTAGTATATATATATATATATATAATTATTAGTATATATATATATATATATATATATTATATATATATATATATATATATATATATGTATATACATATATACATATATATATATATATATATATATATATATATATATATATATATATATATATATATATATATATATATATATATATATATATATATATATACTAATAATTATATATATATATATATATATACTAATAATTATATATATATATATATATATATATATATATATATATATATATATATATATATATATATATATATATAATTTCATTTTTTAACTATATCTTTAGCTTGCTTGTCAATATCAAATAATATATATTATACTCATTTGTACAGTTTCATTCATGCAGAAACAGTTTGAATATAGTACTTTCAAAAGGTGTTAAAAATTGAAATTACATTTATTTTTATTATTATAAAATTTGATAATTCTCAAATAAATTTAACAAATAAATGTGCTAAAAACCTTTCTTTATTGATCCATTTAAATTTGTATAACCGTTTCCGAGAAAATCAGTATAAACCAAGTCTTTTTGAATAGATGACTCAAGGTTTTTATTACATGATAAATTACTTAACTCATGTTCAATAGAAACAGATGTCATATCAAAATTTCAACTGCTCTAACTAAAAATAAATAAAATAAAACCAACTTTTTATTTATTTAAATAAAAAAATTAAAATAAAAGAAATTTATAATTTATTTAAAAAATTTATCATAACAGTTTTAGAATCATTTTTAAAAATAAAAATCTAATAGCTTTTTAGTTATACACATAAACAAATACTAACATATCTTACTTAGGAAATTAGGAACTTAGGAAATTAACAACTGTGAAAAGATATTAGTTTTCAAATTGATTCAGCTCTTTAAAAATGAATGTTTAAGAAAAAAATTTTAAGATTGCATCATGAACAAAAAGATAAAAAAATACCACATTACAAGCATTACTTTTGTAGATTTTTTATTCTATAACTTTTTTTATTCTATCTTAATATTTTCAAACAATTTTTAAATAACAAATAGCTTTTTTATTTTTCTTATTTTCATATAATAAAAAATAAACTACAAAGAAGTGCAAGGCTCGAATTAAGTGATTGTGAATTGCAATATCTGGAAATGATTCTGGTTTATAAATTTTTAGTTTTCAGGGCTTGAATTAAGTGATAGTGAACTGCCATATCTGAAAATGCTTCCAGTCTTTAAATTTTTAGTTTTTGAAAACCCTAATTTTTGTTTTTACCACTTAATGCAATAGCTGTTTTTAACCAAAAAAAATACTTATATTGATCTTGAATTATGTTATAAAATTTCATTTCAAAACCATATTATTATTATAACTATTATTATTACTATTTTTAAAAATTATAATTTAAACTTTAATATTTTAATTCATTTTATAAATCATCAGATAAAACTAGAAAAATAAAGCATACAATACAATGTAAAATTAAAGAACAACCACAAATCGCAACAGTCTGAAGGAATTTAGAATGATCAAATATTTAAAATAAAATAAAAACTAAAGAAATTGTAATTAATTTAATCAAAATTTGGAAATAAAATAAATTACTTTAATTAAAATTGATTTTTTTGTTTGCTACATAATTAACCTTTTACACAAACAAAATCAATGATCTTATATACTAAAACTCTTAGGAATAAAAAGCGCTTGAATAAACTACTAAGCCTGTAGATTGCGGCGTATATTAAATATAAAAACGCTGATTTTCCGCTAAGAGGAAATTATTCTTGTGCCTGCATTTAGAAATTAACTCATTTTGTTTATTTAACAAGTTTTCATATAAGCAAAGACTACTAATTTTTGATAAGGAGCTAAAAGGATTGCAACATTTCACAATTTTATACCTAATTGAGGGTGTAAACTGTTTGTCTTATATATATATATATATATATATATATATATATATATATATATATATATATATATATATATATATATATATATATATATATATATATATATATATATATATATATATATATATATATATATATATATATATATATATATATATATATATATATATATATATATATATTTATATTCTACAGTCACTACACACTATTTTACAGTCACTATACACTATTTAAACTATTTTATCATACATTCAACAATTTTTTTTCTAGACAGTCTTGAAACCAAAGATTAAAAACTTTAACGTGTTGGTCCACATTTACAGTCATTGATGGTCCATTTTTATGTAGTTTTGCTCACTTTTGCATTTTTATTATTGTCATGATTTTTATCAAAGCATTTTAATCAAAATTATCTAATAGTGCAAAAATAAACATAAAAAATAGTTAAATAAAAGTATATATCAGGGTGTTAGCCAGTCTGATTGCACCGCGTATAATGCAGTATTCCCAATGGGTTTTAAATTCTTAAAGGTTCATATGATCATAGTAAAAAAAAAAAAAAAATTAAATCAGTCTCAGTATTAAAGTATCGCGCTAGACAAGTAAAAAATGGAATTAGTATGCACGACGAAAAAATTAATTAAACTGATCGATTTTTTGTTATGTGTAAAAACGTGTCGTCATTAACAAGCGTCATTAACATTTACAACATTCATTCAAAAGTTGAAAAAAACTTTTTTTTTAAGTTTTATTGACGTCAGTTATTCTGGAGTTAAGATTTGCTTAATAAATTATTTTTATTATTCAAAAACTTTATTTATGTTTTTGCTATTTATCTTAAGTAAGTAAAACTACAAAGAAATTTGCATAATAATAAATATTATACTTTAAAATAAGTTAATAACGTCTTTATAATAAAAGATTTAGTTTAAAAAAATAGCAGGTAAAGTAAACCAAAAATAACAACAAAAATAATCAAAAATAAAACTTGCACTGAAATGTATTTTATATGTTATATTTACGTAAAACATAAAAGAAGATATTCAGAAGACAGTAAGAAAAAACAAATATATTTTATTATTACAGAAGACAGTAAGAAAAGGGAAGCCACCCGTTTTTGTGCGAGCGGCTTCCCACAAAATTTAAAACCGCAAACTCTCCGCGTATATGTCAATGGAAGAAATATAAAAGCATTGTTAGATACTGGATGCTCCAAATCAATTTTATGTTGGGATATTGTAAACCCAAAAAATGTCAAACATCCAAGCGAAAAGGTTGTTATGATGAATGGAAAGTCAATTGAAGTACAATACCAGACTGTTGTTAATCTTTCTATAAATGATACCACCATCCATTTGGAATGCCTGGTTACCAACATTGAATATCAAATGCTACTTAATATGGACGCAATACGACTGCTCGGAGGTGTCCAAGTTGGGAGAGATGGTAAAACCATAAACTTTAATGTGGAGCAACTAACTATCGGCGCTACTGCAGTCTCTCAAGGAAAAACGAATGAAGTATCCACGCCTACTATTCAAAAGCTGATTGATAAAGACTTCGTAGCAGAATTCAAAAATGGCAAATGAAGCGTGTCTTGGAAATGGCTGATGGAACCACCAACTTTAACAAACAAAATTCCAAACTATCACATCTCTGAAGACGTTAAAAGTGAGTACACATTGGAAATAAGTGAATGGATAGCACAGGGATGGCTGAAACCATTTGAAGGGAAATGTAATGGCATCATTCCATTGATGGCAGTAATTCAACGAAACAAATTAAAAGTACGTCCGGTGATGGACTACCAGGAGCTGAATCAATTTGTATCCAGTATTACTGCAGATGGCGATGTTTGCAGTACCAAACTTTGCAACTGGAGAAAGTTGGGAGAAAATCTTGAGATAATCAATTTAAAAAAAGCGTACCTGCAGATTCGTGTCGATGAAGCATTATGGAAATATCAAGTTGTGGAATATGAAGGGCAGCGATATTGTCTAACAAGATTGGGTTTTGGTTTAAATGTGGCGCCCAGAATAATGACAAAAATCTTAAAAAAGGTATTATCCTTAGACAAAGTTATCGAGTCTGGGACGGATTCATTTATTTATGACATCATTGTCAATAATAACATAGTGTCAAGTTGTAGAGTTCAAGAACTCTTGAAAAAATATGGCTTGGATTCTCAGCTGCCAGAAAAACTTGTCGGTGGGCGTGTGCTTGGATTGCAAGTGTACAAACAAAACAACAAAGTGCGTTGGAAACGTGACAACATATCCAAAGTTCCTGAAGGAAAAATGACGCATGGGCAAATCTTTTCTTGGTGCGGACAGCTGACTGGACATTTTCCAATAGCAAATTGGTTGCGCCCTTCGTGCAGCTATCTAAAAAGGGTTTTGAGTAGTTGTGGATGGGACACTTTGGTGAACGATCGTGTTGTCAAATTAGTAAGCAGTTTAAAAGAAAGACTTACAAAGGAAGATCCCGTTCATGGGTCATGGAACATAAAAAACACTTCTGAAGCAACAGTGTGGTGCGATGCAAGCAGTTTAGCTGTTGGCATAGTTCTGGAAGTGGCTGGGGAAATAGTAGAAGACTGCTATAACAAGATGATGCGGCTCACATTAATCTCGCAGAGTTAGAAGCTGTGATAAAAGGAATCAATCTAGCAACAAAATGGGGATTCGAATGTATTACCATAAAGTGTGACTCGGCTACTGTTGTTGGCTGGTTGAAATCCTTAATCATCGGTGACAAACCCATTCGGTCTTGGAGAACCACTTGTCCGTCGACGGTTGTCATTAATTTAAGACCTTGTGAAGGAGTGTGGTATACAATTAAAACTCTACCTGGTTAAGTCAGCAAAAAATAAAGCTGATGCTCTTATGAGGGTACCACAGAATTGGCTGCATTTAAACCATTCTGCAATGAAAGCAAATCTTGTACCACCTGATGTGAAGTCGTTTCATAATCTTCGTCACTTTGGAGTAAATCGAATCCTTTAATTGATAAAACAGACATATCCGAAGGAGAAAGTTTGTAGAAAAGACATTGAATCAGTCGTAAAAAGTTGCGAAAGATGTTTATCGGTAGATCCTGCTCCAATCAGATGGGAAGAAGGAAATCTTGAAGTTGGAACGAGCTGGTACCGTTTAGCTATTGACGTTACCCACTATAAATCAGAGATTTATTTGTCTATCATCGACTGTGGCAAAAGGAGCAAGTTTGCAATTTGGAGGAAGCTACAAAACGAGGAAGAAGCAACAGTGTGTTTCCATCTAGAAGAAATATTTCGAGAAAGAGGACCTCCGTGGCAAGTTCTTCTTGACAACAGCAAAACCTTTTGCTCAAAACTTGTTGGTGAATTATGCGCCGAATGGGGAGTAACCATCCTGTTTCGTTGCGCTTAGAGGCCATCTGGAAATGGAATTGTTGAACGTCACCATCGCACAATCAAGCGCATGGCAGCAAGAAGTGGCAAAGATCCGTTAAAAATGGTATATTGGTATAACGTGGTTCCCAGAAAAAATGGCGAGAAAACATCGCTCCCCTACAAAGCTATATTTTCCTATGAGTGGAAACCACACACAATTTTTGCCAAAACTAATGAGAAAGTTCTCCACAACTACACACAAGGACAAAAAGTATTTGTAAAACCACCTGATTCAAAATATACAAGCAAATGGAATAGAGGAAGAGTCTCAGATGAAGGACAAGAAGTTTCGGTAGAAATCAATGGATTACC